TTTGGTAAAGAATGGAGGTGAATAGCTAGATAAGCTTTTACCTATTTAAGAAAACTTAACCATGTTAAGTGAGCAAAAACAAGAAAGAGCCTCATTTCTTCATCTCCTTCATCGACCAAAATAGAGGAAAGGAAGGGAGAAAGCATTTTGGAAAGCAAACCCTAGCCACTCCATTTCTCAACCACTTTTAGTGATTCAAAAGCCTAAAACACTCATAATCTTCCTCTCATCCTTAATCCTAGCTTGGTTTTGAGTGGGGAGCATTGTTGTAAGAATCTGCACCGTTAATTTAGAAAATTAAATAAGATAATTATGATATTAGAAAATAATTCCATAATTGACCTAGAATAATTATGAGAAGATTTGGATAATTAATATAAAGGCTTTATAATGCTGAAAGTCGCTTTTCTGAAGAAAAGTGTAGATACCGGTTCTGCCTCACGGTATAAGTGTGTACCGATGAAGTATCCAAGAAAATTATGAAAAATATGTATATATCACTAGAATAATATCTAGGACTGGTATAATAAGTTTGGAGTCGAAATAATGAGAACCGGCATCAGGACTAATTATGAGGCTCCTTGGCTATTGCCTTCAGCCATTTCCCATCTCTTCTTAGACTTGAGCTTCATACACCAAAAATGAGCCAAGAACTCACCTTTACATTGATTCTTCCTTAATGAAGTTGTAAACTCTGAATTAGTGAGCAGTGTGAGGGAGTTTAGTGTATCATTTCTGAGTGTTAGGCTGCTGTGGTAGGGGTGTGAGGCTGTTCACTTGGGTTTGGGGTTGTGAGAACCATTTTCATGTCATGGGAGGCTTCAAGAAGCCACCTTTTGATGTAAAGGACCAAGCTTGTGTGCCAAATTCGTGGCTTTGCAAAGCCAGAACCTTGGAGCTGTGTTGAAGGCTCCAAGTCTGTCCCATTTTCTGAGTTTTTGAAGCTTGAGGTATACCATGATCACCTCCCTTGTATATTCATGATTTTAGCTTGATTAATCCATTAACAATGGAAACTTTGATCATTCAACTTAAAGATTGCTGAACCATGTGAAAAATGTGTTAATGAACTGCTGTTTGTGGAGTTATTGGACTCCCAATCGCATTTGGACCAGTAAAAATAGAATTATGCAGTAAACTGCTCGGGTTTCTGCATTTTGTCTGATAAGTATTCGAATATTTTTCGTGTAGTATTCGAATACTCATCAGCAGGTAATCGAATACTCTTGAAGGAGTATTGGGATACTTTTCAGGGAAGAAAAGTATTCGGATACTTTAGTGGAAGTATTTGAATACTGCAAAGTATTCGAATACTGTGGTGAAAGTATTTGAATACCTTAGTGAAAGTATTCAGATACTTTCTGGAGACATGGAGTATTCGAATACTCATCGAGGAGTATTCGAATACCTCTTGCAAAATTTGCCTAAAATCGTCTAAAACAAGTTGGAAAGCCTTAAACACTTAGTGAAACCTTGGGCTTTGAATAATAATGATTATTTATGTTATAAACAGACTGTGAGGGTGTTGTTTGGTGACCTTGGGCTAGTGTGGACTTTGGCTGGATTGTTAGCTTGCAAGGTAAGCTTTCGTGTCCTCGATTTTGCCATTGTTTGGTTCCACCATACCTCATGGAGGGATGGTTATATGCATGATGTGTTTTCATGTGATGATATTTGAAATGCTTTTGAGTTGTTATGTGCAAATGCCTTATGATATGTATGTGTTGTTCCACCTAGACGGTAAGCCTGAGTATGTAGCGTCATACAATATGGTGATTCTGTGGGTGGGTGCAAGTAGCGTCTTGCACTGATTGTGGGTTGTAGACGTATGTAATTCCTGCATGTTCTCTTCCCAAAATTTCGCCCCCTTTGAAGATTGAAAGGGTTTGGGAGCATTTCACTTCTTGGGGACTTAGGGAGCACTCATTCCATGGTTGTGCAATCATTTGTGGTAAGTTTCCACTCCTTAAACTTGGTTTTCATGAAGTTTGTATGATGGAAGAAGATGATGAATAGTGTCCTTGTGAGTGATATAAGTTTGGGTTTGATTTAAGCTTAAGCCCTTTGTAAAAGTTGTTGTAGATGATAAATAAACGGTAGAAATGAGTTTAGATAGTCATTTAGTTATTGTTCAATATATGGCAAAATTCATGCTTGGGCTTATGGATGTTCTAGCATTTTGAGCAATTAATGGGTTAGGTGATTAATTGTGTCCTTGTGTTGCTAGGATTGAGGCAAATGGACCAACTTTGAGTGAGCACACATTGGAACAAGCTATGGAGCTTGATTAGCTCATTTGGATATGTAAGTTCATGCCAAGTGGTGGTGTGAGATTGTTGTTTTGTTGATGAATATGTTAATATTCATTAACTTGTATTGATTGATTGTGTGACACCTTGGTGTAGGTGTGTATTTTACAAATTGGTAGCTTGAATTCGGAGTTCGATTGGTTGCAAACTTGTTGGTGAACAAAGGTTGAATTGGAGCATTGAGGTAAGCCTTCGGACCTTGGGTGTAAATCCCTTTATTGTTCCACCAAGCCCTGAATGGGTAGTGGTTGTTGATAGTGTATGAAAATGCAATAAGGTAGTTTAATATTTTATTATACGTATGTGTATGTTTTGGGTGTGGCATAAGATGGTGTTTTCCTATATTTGTATGTTGCATGACGATGTGTTAATCATACTTGGTAGATTCTCTGATCAATAAGACTATTTGCATCTGAGTATCCTTAGGACAACAGGAGCTCGAGGGATGTCTCCTGGAGATGTTTTTACACACTACATAGATATGTATTTACTGCATTATTTATTGTTATTGCTATTATACTGTGAAGTGAACTGTGAGGTGGAGAGATGCTCCAAGGACCCCTGGTTTACTGAGATGTATTCGTATATCTCACCCCGTGTTGTGGGGACCCCCTTTCAGGTACAGATGCTGCAGGAGCCTCTAGTGGCAAGTGGTCATATTTGGACTAGTTGGTCATATGTTGATAGCCTATCATTCTGGAGTGCATCACATCTAGGATAGTAGATGTATATGTCATTTACATTGCCACATGTATATTGTATTTTGAGGACACATGATGTATTTTGGGAGGCTTAGTGCATGATCATTGTAGTGGTGAATGTCTTTTTGTGTATGGCTTATAGCTTTGATCATGTTCCTTTTGTAGCTAAGTCTTTTGGCATGTATATGAAATTAGGAAGAACATTGATGTAATTGAAACTTTGATGTATTGATGAATATGTAGTTATGTTTATCATTTTGATTTGTAGGATGAATTGGTAAAGAGTTTATGGAATGTAGGTGCCACATGGTGTGTGACCATGGTTGGTTTTTCCTTGTCAATTAGGTGTAATAACCATTGAAGAATGAAAGGGGAATGAAGTTTCCCCAAGAAATTCACCAAAAACAGGGGAGACCAAGTCTGCCCCAGGTGTAGGGCGCTCAAGCGCTGATTTAGGCGCTCAAGAGCGCTATATACGTGAAAATAAGTGAAATCCCCTTCCTCTTGGCGCTCAAGCGTTGATTTGGGCGCTCAAGCGCGCAGGTACACGCCCAAGCGCGCTAAAAACCTGACGATGACAAAATTCTTCGCCATTGGGCGCTCGAGCGCCCATTTGAGCGCTCGGGCGCGCATCCCGAAAACAACACCAACCTAGTTTACTAAAATTGGTATAACTCAAACTACAGATCTCCAATTTGAGCGCAGTTTGAACCCACGTGAAACTAACTTAGAGATCTATAACATAGTTTGAGATGAGAACTATAAAGTAAGTATAAGAATTCTAATTTAATAAAAAGTGAAGAGAGTTTAGTATTGAACTCGAACAAAATAATAATATGATGTTAAGTTTAGTTTTGATTATTCTGCAAGGTAATAAGGTTATGGTCACACAATTGGTTATTTTAAACTTTGCGTTGTTAAAAAGGAAAAGCAAGTAAGTTTTAAAAAGAAAATGAAAATTTATCCGAGTTTTTAATTGAATCAATATGATTGTAACTGCACTTAATATCATAAAGCATTGTTAACAAACCGGTTCTAGAACGGGGCGTTACAGCAACCCGCCCTATCCCTCCCCATCAACTCAACTAAAAAAAGCCAACCCGTCCCGCTTTTAAAAGTGGGATGAGAAACTTAACCCGCCGTGCCAACCCGCCTATGTGTTGAGATTTTCTTAAAGATTTAAAAAATTATTATTATTTGTACAAACTTATTTCTACGCAATACCAAGAATTAATCATAGTAAAAAATATTTTTGTACAAAAATACAAATAAAAAATGATATTTTATTATAAACCTAATTAGATGCTCACCTGTGCTGTCTAGCAACTCACCTGCACTCGACTCTCCTGTCTTATGTTATGTGTATCCCATCCCATCCTCTTTACTTTAACCATCCCACCCACCCACTGCAAAGCCCCCCTTGACTTTCAACTTTGAAGTGAATAAGGATACAAACACACACACATAGGTGCTATAAATTCGCAGGCATCTATGTGAGTAACAAAGGCCATTTTTTTGGCATTCCCATGATAAGCCCACTCAGTAACAAAGGAAACAGAAAGTTAGGGTTAGCCAGTTTAGGTGTAAAAGTTTATGTATTAAAAAAAAAAAGGTTATACGGGTTAACACGTCCCATGGTGGGTTAAACCTGCTTTTAACCCGCACTTATGCTAGTCGGGTTACACAGGTTGGCGAGTTGTAAAACATAACTCATCCCACCATATTTGGCGAGTTAGGCAGGTCGACCCGACGAGTCGAATTCCGGTTTTGCCGGCCCTATACACATGTCAAGTGAGAGGGTGAAATTTAAAAGAAACTAATCATGACCTTTCATGTAAAATTAAATAGTCAAAATTAGTTTTATCATGCTCTCTCAGTCACCTTATTTGCATTCTTTGTTTGGTTAATTTAAAAACTCATAAGCTTGGTACCACCAAAAGTTAAACAAGAAAACAAGGAAACAATAATAGGTTAACATGTTGAAGCCATGAAAAAGTGTCCATCTAAAATTGCATATTCTTTTTTTCTTTAGTTTCGGACAAGTCGAAATTTTTAAATAAAAAAAAAACTGGGATGAGATTGAACTCTCAACAATGGTTAAGAAAACTTTGCATACTTACTATACATGACAAGCATTTAAATCAGCAGTATTCACAATGTCTATACTTATATTCTTCCTTTCCTCGGTTGCCCCTCCACGACACAAACCTTTTAATCAAGAGTAAGCCGTTTCATCGAATACCATCACCTAGACCAAAACAAAAAGCCAAATATATAATCAATCTATTATATGATTCAGTATTTAGCTCATCAATCAGGAATACACTTTGCCAACAGCAAAAGAACATATTACTCAAACTCTAGCTCTCAAGTCACGCTTGCCTCAGATATATCCATTTATTTATGGTTAAAATATGTTTTTAGTTGCTATAAATTGTTAAACTTTTCAAAGAAGTCCATTTATTTATTTTTTTCCTTCCAAAGTCATCCTTCTATTACACATCCATCATCAACCCAACGTTATCTGCAATGCTGCATACATTGGACACGATAAATCCCTACATAAAAAGCTGAAAACTGAGGTGGCATGTTACATGGCAATGAATTCTTCAATTCATTCATTAACTGGTTCCCTTAGGGTTATAGGGAGTGGAATATTTCATAGGTTTACAATTTCATTGTCATGTAATATGCCACCTCTAATTTCTATTTTCCATGAAGGCACTTTACATTTCGTCCAAGTCAGCCTTAGTGTGTCCATTTATGCAATTTATGAAAAAAGATCTTAAAGGGACTAGTTTGAAAGGTTTAAAAAAGACAAGAATTTGGTAGGGTCTAGAAACATATTTAATCCTTATTTATTTAAATGTGGTACGTTATAATGGTTTAATCAATATATTAATATAACAAAAAACAATTGAGTACATACATATTAATACATACATAAACATAGATACACGCACACACGTATTGACCAGTGAGTAGTATATTACACACAGACAAGCTGGGTGGGGAGTCAATGTCAGCTCAAATAATGAGAATCAAGCTCAAATAGCTATAAATCATGCATATTTACCCCAATCCTTTCCACCATCCAATGGGTCTATATAAATTTTAAGGGTAAAGTGTAAAACCACATATATCACATAAATTCCTTATTTTCTTATCTTTCATCATTTACTATTACGGGCTATTACGTTTGCATCATTCACATTAATCAACTAAAATATGTGACACGTCTAGCAAACTTAACATACCTGTCAGCAAACCAATAGTTACTAAACATGACACACAAAATATATACTCCTACCCTGTTTGGAGACAACAAATTGTCCTATGCAGCTGTTAGTTTTAGTTATAACATGTAGTTAAATAACACTTGGTCCCCCCAGAATATCAATACTTGTACCAGTTATCTATAATTGCAACACCACACATAATTATTCTAATTATCCAGCCATCACGTCAAGTAGCACATAAATTGCAAGAGTTCCCATAAAATTTAAAATGCAGTGGTGAAAGGGGTTATGAGATGTTCCATAAGTCATTTCAGAATAAGGGGAGTAATCATAATAACTAGTCATTACTGTAGAAGATAGATAAAATATTCTCATGTTATTTTAGCAAACAGAGGTAAAGTTCTGGAAGTCTATATTTTTTTTCCTAATCTTTATATTATTTTATGATGGGTCTGAAACATGAGGGATAAATGTAATAATAATATTATAAGGGTTTTTATAGAGAGAGAAAAAAAAAATAGCTAGTTAGTTCTAGAATATTCTGAGAGTTAGGATAAAAGGAGGGGAATGTGAGGAGTGAGGGAGGCATGAATTCAGTATTTGTTTAGTGGGGAATTTAGGTATCTCTTGAAGCCTAGGGTTGCTGGCTTTGAGGGTGAGTTGAGGTCTTTCGGTGTATTTTTCTGGTATTAGTGTTTGTAAAAAGAGTCTATGCCTCAATTGAATCTGAAATATATTGTATATTCAAGTGTGTAAGTCTGTACAAGGAAGCTCTCTATTTATAGAGACTAAAAGACCTAACGGAATGACCTAATGGGCCAAGCCCACAATCTAGACTATTCTAGACTATTCTAATAATAATAAATAAATTAATATTATTTCTAACACTCCCCCTCAAGCTGGTGCGTATATATCAAAAGCTCCCAACTTGTTACAAATATGATCTATTCGAGGACCTCTAAGAGCTTTAGTGAATACATCCGCAAGTTGATCATTGGAATTGACAAATGCTGTCTCGATCTCCCTTGACTGGATCTTTTCTCTAACAAAATGACAGTCAATTTCTATATGCTTGGTCCTCTCATGAAAGACTGGGTTAGAGGATATATGCAAAGCGGCTTGGTTGTCACAAATGAGCTTCATAGGCCTTTGTTCAGAGAGATGGAGTTCCTTCAGCAATTGACTCAGCCAGATGAGCTCACAGGTTGCATTTGCCATTGCCCGATATTCTGCCTCCGCACTGGATCTAGCGACCACAGTTTGCTTCTTACTCTTCCAAGAGATCAAATTTCCTCCGAAGAGAACACAATACCCTGAGGTGGATCGTCTATCTGAAGGAGAACCTGCCCAGTCAGCATCTGAATAACTAGAGATCTTTGAACTCCCTTTATTTGTATATAATAAACCTCTTCCTGGCGCCTTTTTAATATATCGGAGAATTCTAATAACTGCATCCCAATGGGAGTCACAGGGAGAATCAAGAAATTGACTTGCAACACTCACTGCGAAGGAGATATCTGGCCTTGTCACAGTAAGATAATTCAATTTTCCAACTAATCGGCGGTAGCGACTAGGATCTGGCAGTGGCTCCCCCTGTCCTGGTAATAACTTAACATTGGGGTCCATACGTGTATCAATGGGTTTACAGCCTAACATGCCAGTCTCATCTAGGATATCCAGTGCATACTTCCTCTGACAGATGGAAATGCCCCGCCTAGACTGTGCAACTTCGATCCCCAAGAAATATCGAAGTCTGCCAAGATCTTTGGTCTGAAATTGGTTGAATAAATGCTCTTTCAACTGATCAATCCCGGTCTGATCACTGCCTGTAATGATAATGTCATCAACATAGACCAGGAGATAAACACACTGGCCAGAAGAGCTATGCCGGTAAAAGACAGAATGATCGGCTTTGCTTCTGATTAAGCCAAAGGATTCAACAACTGAACTAAAGCGGCTAAACCAGGCCCGAGGAGATTGCTTCAGGCCATATAAAGATTTCCGAAGTTTACATATCATTCCAGAACTCTCCCCCTGAGCAACAAAACCTGGTGGTTGCTCCATATAAACTTCCTCCTGCAAGTCACCATGTAGAAAAGCATTCTTAATATCAAGTTGGAGAAGGGGCCAGTGATGAATGGCGGCAAGGGCAAGAAACAGGCGAACAGAAGCCATCTTAGCAACAGGAGAAAAGGTATCCCCATAATCAAGACCAAAGATCTGTGTGTATCCCTTGGCCACTAAGCGAGCTTTAAGGCGATCAACAGTGCCATCAGGACCAACTTTAACTGTGAACACCCATCGACAACCAACAACAGACTTCCCGGGAGGAGCACGAACAAGATCCCAAGTGCCATTGGAGTGAAGTGCCTGCATTTCATCAAGCATCGCCTGGCGCCACCCTAAATGAGATAGTGCTTCACCTGTGGTTTTAGGGATGGAAACAGAAGAGAGACTAGAAACAAAAGTAAAATGTTGTGAAGAAAGTCTGTCATAACTCAAGAAAGAATAAAGGGGATGAGGATTTCGAGTGGATCGAATACCTTTCCGAAGGGCAATGGGAGGAGTCTCTGATGGAGGATCCGGAGGAGAAGAGCCGACGGGAAAGGGCGATGAGTCATCAAGAGGCAAAGTCGGAGGAGGTGCAGGCTGACGACGCTGGTATGTGAGGAGAGGACGATCTGCAGGTATGGAGGTAATTGGTTGCTCCTCTGGAATAGGGTCACCTGCAGCTGGTAAAGACAAGTCAAGAAAAGGAACAGGGAGGACCTGATCAACTTGGGACACTGGAGACGGAGTAGAGTGAAAAGGCTGCTGATCAAGGAAAGTGACATCAGCAGAAACGATATAACGCTTGAGATCAGGAGAATAGCAACGATACCCTTTTTGAAAACGTGTATACCCAAGGAAAATACACTTGAAGGCCTTGGATGTCAACTTGTCTTTACCTGGAGTAAGATCATGAACAAAACAAGTACAGCCAAAAATATGTAAAGGCAGAGGATAAGAAGGTGCTCCGGAAAACAAAATACTGTGGGGAACATCATTGTTTAGCACAGAAGAGGGCATGCGGTTGATAAGGAAACATGAGGTGATAATAGCATCTGCCCAAAAACGGAGTGGGACGTTCATATGAATGAGAAGGGTACGTGCAGTTTCAACTAGATGTCTATTTTTACGTTCAGCGACTCCATTTTGTTGTGGAGTGTGAGGACAGGTAGTCTGGTGTATCGTCCCTTGTGTATCCAGAAATTTAGAAAATTCAAGAGACACATACTCTTTTGCATTATCACTGCGCAAGATTTGAATAGAAGCACCAAATTGAGTTTTTATTTCTGCACAAAACTTTTGATAAATTGAAAATAACTCAGAACGATTTTTCATTAAATAAACCCAAGTGCAACGGGAGAAATCATCAATAAAGGTGACAAAATACTGAAAACCCAAAACAGACGTTGTTCGACTCGGACCCCAAATATCAGAATGAACAATAAAAAAAGGAGCATCAGCTCTTTTATTGACTCTATTAGCAAAGGAGGAGCGAGTGTGCAAAGGAGGAGCGAGTGTGTTTTCCTTGCTGACAAGAATGACAGTTTAAAGACTTAAGATTGGATAAAAAGGGAACCATATGCTAAAGCTTGGAGAGGTTTGGATGACCCAGACGGCTGTGAATTAGCTCAGGAGACTCTGTGAGAGAACAAGCTACTGGAGAAGGTGGTGCAATCAGATAGTAGAGACCTTGTGACTCAACGCCAGCTCCAATCGTCTTCCCCGTACCTGAATCCTGCATAGAAAAGGATTGTTTAGAGAAGGTAATAGTACATGAAAGAGAATGAATCAACTGGCTAACAGAGATTAAATTAAAAGGAATGCCAGGTATATAATAAACTGAACTCAAAGTTAAAAGAGGAGTTGGTTTGGCTTCCCCAATTCCACGAGCAGGAGCCTTAGTGCCATCAGCAAGAGTGACAGGAGGTAGGTTATTAGAATAAGAAAGTGAAGTGAAGAGATCTTTATTACCACAAATATGATGAGTAGCACCTGAGTCTATTATCCAGGGTCCAAGAGATGATTGATAAAAACAAGCAACATGATTACCAGTGTCTTGAGTAGGATGCTGAGAAGAAACCTTCTTGAGAAGTGCCTCATAGTCGGCACTTGAAAGAGTTACTAATCCAGTTGAAGGTGGCGTAACATCAGTTTGAGCAAAGTTGGCAGTCGGTGGCTTCAAATGAGGGTACTTCCTATAGCAGCATTCTTCAAAATGCCCAAGATTCTGGCAATAATTGCAACGAGGCCTTTGTCTGCGGCCACGTCTACGACCGCGTCCACTGTTCCAATTGGAATCACGGGCCCGAGAAAAGAATGGAGATGGGGTAGTACCGGAGATGATGCCAGTCGTGTTTTTGGACGCATTATTTGAGCCCTCCATCACAAAATAAAAGTAGATGACCAGAAAATAGAAAAGAACTACAAGAAATCGCGCAAAAACGTTGCACAAAAGTGTCCAAACAGCGGGTTTTTCACTGATATCTTTCAAACGGATGGGACCCACAACGAACGGAGACCAGATCTGGAAAGAGGGTGAGGAGGCGAGCAAGATGGTGGTGGTCCGGCCTGGAACGGTGGCCGGACGGTGGCTCACGCGCCGGAACAGTGGCTCGGCCGCCGAGACTTCCACCGGCGCGTGGCGGCGCGTGGATGCTCCGATCAACACGCGACTTGGACAGACAGGGTCGCCTCCCTGAGCCGCTCCAGATCGCGTGGTGGTTGGTCGGAAAAGTCGCCGGAAAAGCAGTCTGACGGCGGTGAACAGTGGCGGACGGTGGTTTTCTGGCGGTTTCCGGCGATGAACGGAGGCTGGCGATCTTTTTCCTGATGATACGAGGTTGAGGACAAAAATTTGTGACTAAATAAGGGTTAGGTGTGAAAGGATGGTTGCCGGTATGATGCACGGCAGTAAAAAGAAAGGAAAAGATATATATGCGGAAGCAGAGCCCTCAGATCGAGAGCTCTGATACCAAACCTTGAGATCACCATCCCAAAAGCTAGCTCAAAGGGTGAGAGTGCCCAAAGTCTTATAAACTCCACATTAGTTGCTCATACAACCAATGTGGAACTATATATCTCAACACACCTCCTCACACAAGAGCCCATTGGGCTTGAAGAGCAGGCCCAGCCTACCTGTGCTAAGAAATGCCACAAGAGAAAGTGGGGGGCGGCGAGGCTCTGATACCAAATTGAATCTGAAATATATTGTATATTCAAGTGTGTAAGTCTGTACAAGGAGGCTCTCTATTTATAGAGACTAAAAGACCTAACGGAATGACCTAATGGGCCAAGCCCACAATCTAGACTATTCTAGACTATTCTAATAATAATAAATAAATTAATATTATTTCTAACAGCCTCTATTGTTAATAAAATCAGTGCTGTAATTTTCTAGTTCCATCAATTTGGTATCAGAGCACTACAATCCTGGGAGTGCTTTCTGGTCCAGATCTATAAGAAAAAAAAAATGGAAAGCAGAATCAAGAAAGTGGAGAGGTGCTTTGATCGTTTGGAAGACAGAATGGATGGAGTTGAATACTCTTTTCGACAACTTCAAGAAACCATTCGAAAGAGACCGCGTCGATCCGTGTTTTGCTAGATCAGGCACAAGATAATCATAAACAAAAAAGGTAGAAACAGAGAGTCGAAGAAACAGAAAAAAAAATCGAAGAAAAAGAAGAAAAGAAAGAAAATGCAGCATATCAGCAAAAAAATAAAAAAAAAGGGGAAGACAAAGAAAAACGTGAAGAAGAACCAAAATCAAACAAAGACGATACGGAAGAAGCCGAAAGAGACGAAGACGGAGAAGTAGCATATGAAAAAGTAGAAAAAGAAGGAAGCGAAGAAGGAACGAAAGTATATGAAGAAGCAAAAGAAGAAAAAAGTGTTGAACAAGACAAGGAAGAAGAAGAAATAGAAGAAGGAGAAGCGCAAGATGATGTAGGGGTCGCAGCAAAAGAGAAAGAGACGGCGACTGGAAGGCGGAATGGGTATGGGTGTGTGATACCGCGACGAAATAGGGCCTAGTGGATCTGTAGCAGGTCATTACTCAAGGCCCACACTGCCAAATAGGTATGTAAGTCAATTGGGGCCTACCTGATGAGGAGGGGAATAATAAAGTGGCCTCGAATCAAAGAATTGGGCCCAATAACAACCAGTGAAAGTCCAGTGGCATTGAGCGGTATACACATAACCTTAGTTCAGATCAGTATATTGGGGGGGGGGGGTTAAAGCACCGTACGGGGATTGGTACCGTCAAGGGAGGAAGCTCAGACAGAGGGGACGGCGGCGACCTAAGGAACGTATGATTCCAACGACTTTTCCCGGAGGAAATGGCAGAAGATGAAGTTGAATTTGGGGAAGTGGGTAACATTGCTGATGCGCAGTCCATTCAACTAAGCATGCTCAACAAGGTCGGCCATACGTCTAGTTGTTCGCTCAAACTCTGGAGAGAGATTCATGGACGAAGAGTGGTGATCTTGATAGATACAGGCACTGTGCATATTCTGAAAGCAAGGCAGCAAGTGAGGCAATAGAGAAAGTATATCAGGGACAAGCAGTTGGCCCAATCACATTTTAGACTAAATTTCAGCCACATCTTGTTTGGACCATGTATGGAAGTGAAACTGATTTGAGGGAAATGAATCGGGAATATACTGAAGGTGAGGTTCATGAAACGAAAACGTTGCAGTTGCTAATTGGGTCAATATGCTTCAAGCAGTGGAATCCAGGTGGATGTTTTCTCACATCACCTATTCTCTTGCTTCACCTCGAGGACAAGGTGAGTTTTGGAAGGGGAGTATTGATGGGCCTGAAATATGAGGGATAAATGTAATAATAGTATAAGGGTTGTTATAGAGAGAGAAAAAAAAAAAGAGTTAGTTCTAGAATATTCTAAGAGTTAGGATAAAAGGAGGGGACTGTGAGGAGTGAGGGAGACATGAATTCGGTATTGGTTTAATGGGGAATTTGGGGATCTCTTGAAGCCTAGGATTGTTGGCTTTGAGGGTGAGTTGAGGTCTTTTGGTGTATTTTTCTGGTATTAGTGTTTATAAAAAGAGACTATGCCTCTATTGTTAATAAAATCAGTGCTGTAATTTTCTGGTTCCATCATTTTAAAACTGAAGCTCGTCTTTTTATTACAATTTTGTTACTGAATCATGCTTAAAATAATTTTAATATATAGAAATATATAATACTAATGCAATTGTTTGGAAAACTATATAAAATTGTTGTTTCATTTGTTCAGCATTTACAATTGAAGCAAAATTAATATTTTGAACAGTTCTTAACAACAGCTGTAGTGCAATCCTGTTGTTTGCTATGCTACCAAGCAGATTATTGGATTTTACTCCCAGCTTTGGCTCTTCCAATTGAAATGTGAAAACTAAGTGAAAATGTTGTGCACCACAAGTTATAGGGATTGGTGGAATTGGACTGGTTTGCCAGTTTGTACTAGAAAGAGGTTTGCACCCAATACAATTTACAGGTAAGAATCAAACAAGAGACGTGGCTGATGTTTACTATGCTACCAAGCCAATTATTGGATTTTACTCCAGATTTGGCTCTTCATATTGAAATGTGAAAATTGAGTGATAAGGTAGTGCACCACAAGCCATTGGAATTGATGCAATTGGACTGATACGCCAATTGGAACTGAAACAAGATGATTCAGACCAGTTTACACAGGTTTGCACCCAAAACAGTTTACTGGTGTGAAGCAAACTGGAGACGTGTCAGATAGCCAAACTGACCAGTTTAGTCCCGTTTTCACTTCTTATAACACTGAATTTGATGTATTCTATCTCTATGTCATTGCTAATGAACTAAAATTCATTTCACTGAAGTAGAATTTAGAAGAAAATACTAGGTATTACCTTTCCACAAACTGGACAGTTGTCACTTCTTTCCATCCATTCATAAATGCAACCAAGGTGAAAATGATGAGAGCATTTTGTCATTATCTTTGGATTCTCTTTAGTGTATTCTGCAAGCAAAAATAATTGTAGAAACATAAGAATCTTCAAAGATAAAATTCTCTTAATAGTGTGTTTGCCGGTATCAACAACCAGCTAATTGCAGCAATGATCAGAAATTCAAAAGGACTACTGCCCAGAACTTAAAGATTGGCCTCCTAAGTTCCTGCACAAAATTTACATTATTTCCAAGCCAAGCTGCTTCATAGTACTGTATTATTGTTTTATACCTTCAAGGCCAATCAATGAAAGCATTGAGAGAAGCATATTTCATTATCCTCAGCTAATTGAAATATCCAACTTTTTGTTTTGCTTCTTCAAAAGTTAAGGGACAGGAGCCAAAAGTTTTGAAGTAAAAGGAAGTATGATACACTATTGAGTCTCAAACATTATGTAGGCTCTACAATAAGTATATCAAATAAAAATAAAACATCCAAATTTTTTGGTACATGTCAAGACGTGCCATTAAGCATCTTACAGGACCAGATCAATACTACATGAAAATTTAAGTCCTAGTACCAAGGGTCTTCTATTGAAAATTTATAAGGAAAAACATATATATATCTCTAGTTCTCTACCTTCAAGACAGGTTGGACAGATATCCTCCTCTTCTGATGATGAATATATGAGCCCAACTCCAGTTGCATATTTTGATGATGGAAGTCTTAGTGAGGACTTAGAACGGTATTCCTTTGATCCATCTTCACAGGAACTTTCATTCCATTTGTCTCCTGAATTTAAAGATTCTGGATCCACATCTACATCACTTCTTAGAGGTTCTGTTTCCTCATTCGAATGACTTGAACCCTTCTCACGCCTTGAAACTAGTCCATCACGTGGCGAGCGGAAATATCTGGGTTCTGCATCATAAGGTAAGGGCCTTGGAGGAGATCGATACATGTCAGACAGAGAATTATCAAGTGATGCAGCAGAACCCATAGATGCTGGCCCCTGAATAGATGAAGGAATTGAATGCACTTCCCCTCTTCGGAATATTGATGCATACTGAAATTTTAGGCACATAGAAATATGGTTATATTAAATTGATGTAGATAATACTATGGTTATATTTTTATAAAGTATAGCTCTCATCAATGTCAAGATATATAGTCCCACATTGGTTGTATGAGCAACTAATGTGGAGTTTATAAGGCCTTGGGCACTCCCACCCTTTGAGCTAGCTTTTGAAGTGGTGTATCCCAAGGTTCTTTACATGGTATCAGAGCTTGAGTGGCTACAAGGTCACAAGTTCGGTCCTCACCGCCCCCCACTTTAAAGTGGAATTAAAATAAAAAGCACAAAAAGGTAAACCAAAAATTGGGCCTGTGCATAATCCACGCTTCAAGCCCAGTGGCTCTCGTGTGAGGGGGCGTGTTGAGATATATAGTCCCACATTGGTTGTATGAGCAACTAATGTGAAGTTTATAAGGCCTTGGGCACTCCCACCCTTTCAGCTAGCTTTTGGGGTGGTGTATCCCAAGGTTCTTTACATTGATGCATGCTGAAATTTTAGGCACATAGAAATATGGTTATATTAAATTGATGTAGATAATACTATGGTTATAATTTTATAAAGTAGCTCTCATCAATGTCAAGATACATCATCCTGAAAAATGGATTTAGTGAGGACTAAAATATTCTTCAAGTTTCAGTCTACCAAATAAATACTAATGTAAATGGCAATCAATACAATTGATTTTATTTGTGACCAAAAAACTTTCCGATGCAGAAAATCTTTCCGAAACCAAATAATAGTTGATTATAATTTGCTCTTATTTGATTTTATTTGTGATCCAGTTAGGACAAACAAGAAATCTCTAGAGCTTCAGAGGGTACACGTACACTTATCCCTCCCCACAACTGACTTAGAGGTAACTCAAGTTTAAGAGTCACTTCTAAATTGATAGCACTCACAAAATTTCTTTACAGATGCATATATGCAACACATCACCAATTGTAAATTTTTGGGATTAGGACACATTTCAACAACAGTGGTATGTGAAACCAGAATAATAAAGAGAGGCTAATGCCCCCACACATAACTTTTCACATTATATATTCAAACAAAGGAACAATGGAGAAGATGCACGTATACACCTACAGGTTTGCCACCTCTCTAGTATCGAATTCAGGGAAAAAACAATGCATTAAGTCATGGGGGGAGTTATCAAATTCGAATTACGGACAGCAACACATAAAGACAGAGCATTGCCCTCCTATGAATCAAGAAGAGGAAAGGAAGCAAAACGGGGGAGAGGCAGGAAGATAGGATATAGAGATATACCACATTTAAAAGGTTCTGTACGAAGCAACTGAGACACACGCAGTTCCTATATACAGAACTACTTGGATTTACATAATCTTCAAAATTGTCAGAACTCAAACAACAACAAACAGAACCCATCGTTCCAGCTTCCCAATATGTTTCTTTAGCTTGAGATTTTTCCCACTCTTCAACTGATCAATAAAAAATAAACGGTGCTACATGCAAGCTTTGAGAAAAGAAACCTCCAACAGCACCACACTATGTTTTCATTGAAAAAAACTGGAGAGAGGATTCTAAGCTTGCAGAATTTACACTGTCTCCACAAACCATTACCCTCCCTCCTCAATTCAAATACTCCTGTAATATGAAAAAACACCGTTCTTTCTCACCTGTAAAATACATCAAAAGATCATTAAAAAAAGGAAAAAGAAAAACAACAACAAAGCACTGAAAAACATGAGAAGGTTGTAGAAGCTGCCATTAATGCAATTGTTTGACCAATCAAAGTAACTCAGCTTTAACGTACAACACAATAAATTCCTCTATACAATTGATGTACAAAAGTTAGGTCTATACCGCATTAATATTTTATATTTTAAATTGATGATGCATCACTTGTTTATTGGTTTAATGCACTAGAATATCTGAGCAATGCAGCTAATGCATAAGATAAGATCAACACAAAACACCTAAGTGTGATAAAAACTGAAAATAACTAGTATCAAATTCGAAAAAGAATATGACAAATTTGATTATTCAAAGGGCAAAGCTTTTTACTTTTTAATCTTTTCCCACACACCGACAGTTAACAGTTTCATTTGCACAGTTTTAACTTCAAATTTTGGAAAAATATTTATTCTTTTCTTAACTGGTAAGCTATGCCAATGCATCAACCAACAACACGAACATCATTACTTTCCTTTCAGATGAAAATTCATGATCACCGCTTTAGAACATTAAATTAAAAAAAAAAAAGACATAAAATCACATCCAAATTGTGTGTGCAGACAATGGAATTTTCCATTAAGAAAGAGAAGATCGACCAAGAAACACACTTAAATTGGAAAAAAGGGAAAGACCCACTTTCGATTATCAAAGTAAGAGGCAATCAGAAAGGTCAAAACGACAATCGGAAGCTAAAAATTGAAGTGGGTAAGAGGGAGAAGAAGAAAAAGACAAAGAGAGAGAAGAACCTGGAACTGAGAAATTGGGTAGAGTTAGTGTAGATAGATGTTTGGGAAATCATAAACGTAGGAATAGGAGGTGAAAGTTTGGATTTTTCGGCGATAATTGCTATGAAGCTGCGAAATTAAAGTTAACCTTCACTCTCTATTTCTCTCTTTCCCTTTGGCTTGGCTTTGGTTTGGTGGGTGAAGTGGAGTATTTTATTTATTTATTTATTATTATTAATTATGAAAAAAAGGGTTTGTAATTCGAAATTACATTTATTTTATTGGGAAATGTTATAGTTACTACCTTTTTTCTTACTACTTGTTACTATCAAATCTTAAACGTTAATTTCCTCAATCTAACGGTAATAAATTATAACCGTTAGATTGGCGGAAATCAACAGTTAAGATTTGGTAGTAACAAGTAGCAAGAAAAAATATAATAATTATAATCTCCTCCTATTTTATATTATTTTAAGTAAAAAAGTTGTGTTTTGATACATATTTTCTGAGTTTTTAACTTCTCTCTTTTAGAACAGGAAAGAAAAAGAAAGAATATTATCAAAGAGAGAAAATAAAATTTTATCAAAATACGACCAATTCACTTAAAATGATATAAATTTATATTAGGAAAAAGTAGTTCAGTTCTTTAGTTACTAGAGATAAAATTATCTCAGTGAACTCAAAATAATGTCATTTGAAATTATAAGATTAAAAAATTATAATGATAAAGACTAATATAACCATGTAACATATTAGAATTACAAAATACCTTGATTTTCGCTCCAGAATTATGTCGTTTTAAGCTCATGAGAAATAACTTATCTCTATTGAATGGAAAAATTCTTTACCTTTTATATTATTTAAAATGGAAAACATTATTTTTTTCATATTATTTTTTTCTTTGGGAATGAGGTGGAGGCGGTAGTGGAAGAATCCAATCCAATTTCATATTTTAAATAATTCTATGTCAAAGAGAGAGAACTACTTTTCTTAATTTATGTGATTTTGATATTATGAGCATGTTTTATACATATTAAGTACACCACAATCAACCCAACGCGTGCCGGTTACATTGATTAAAAGGGCCCTCAAACAGTAAACAAAGTAGTATATTTATGAGATATAATTTTCTATTGTTGATTCTTTGATGATTAACAGACAAGACTGAAACTTCTGTAATATTTATTGGTAGAATAATATAGAACTTATTATAATACATTTTCGGGTGTATTGTTTTGTTTGGAATAGAACTCAAATTATGAAGGACACGGTTGGTTGAATTATTTTCTCTCTTTCGTTCATTCACGTTATTTGGAGTTTGAGGTGTAATGAATATTTGGTATATACTGGCATTGGATTAGCATGCATTATGCTTATAGTTGACATTACGTATGAGTTTGAGACATAATTATATCGTGAAATTTTATGTTGCTGGAATTATTGAGCTCGTAGTCAATACTATATAAGAGCATATGTTTGAAATATATATATATATATATATATATATATATATATATATATATATATATATATATATATATATAAAGAGAGATATTCTCACTACCAAAATTTTCCACTATCAACTTACTACCTATCTAATCACCATTAGATTAACATTTTCTCTCTCTTCAAAAACTTTTTAACATTCTCTCTCTTTGATCTAATGGTGATGTGACGGGTAGTAAATTAGTAGTAAGAAGTTTTGGCAGTTAGAATATCTTCACCCATATATATATATATATATATATATATATATATATATATATATATATATAAACCATACAACTTTAATATATTTGAAAGAAATCTCGGGATTAACAAATAATATTGTAGTTCAGCTTTTGTTAGATTATATTGACATGTTATTTCCTTATTTACATTCTACACTAATGATTAGATAAACAAAGGATGTAATTAGCCACTGAATTAGTGGTGAGGGGTTTGGATAAGTTGTATAGATTGTGTATTCATTTTTCACTTGTATAAAAAAAAAAGAGAGGATGTAATTACCGTTTAATTTATTGATATTTGGCATTAGTTGGATGTGTCATATTTAGTTATTGCACCTCAAATCATGTGTTTTCTTAATGTGGTCACATTACAAAAATTAGTACCTAGCGTGAAGTGGTTTTGAAAATAACTTGTTTTCTTTTTTAAGTTAAAAATATACAATTCATTTGCTCATGTGGAAGAACATTACAATTTTTTTAATTATTGTGAATTGTGATCATTTGTATTTTTTTATTTTAATAAAAATGAGCTAAGTCATAATCTATATGAGGTGCATTGCATAAGCCCACTTGATAAAGTGGTCCTTTTGTTTAGCTTAGATATGTATAATCAATAGGTCCAAGATGGAAAGAGAATTAGGGATTAATAAGTTTGTCGGGTTATGAATAGGGGAATATATGAATGAAGTTTTTTTTTCTTCTCTTTTTTTATGTATTCATTTATGTTACTTGAAGTTAGAGGTGCAATAATGATAGGCATAGCCTAATGGAGAAAGCTAGGAGATAAGAACGAAGAGAGAACACACAAGATGAGGAAAGAAAGGGGCTTCCCCCTATTTAAGGCCTAATGGATGGTATTGATTTGCTAATCAAATTCCCTCCAAAGATATAATTCACAATCGAGAATCTATAACATAAATCATAATTATCACAAACAAAATTGTATGATTTGAACATATTCTCTAACAAAACCTAACTACCTTCTCGATAAGGTCCTAAGGCTTACCAACCATATCATTCTTCTTTAGCCCTTTGTGGTGTTATCCTTACTCACCTGGATTGTCTCTCGGAAGGCCTCATTTTCTCCTCAAAATTCTCTAGGCTTGCCTCCCTTGTTTCATTCGAGCTCATACGCATTTCCACCAACTCATTCCCAATCCTGGTTGTTTCTAACTAAAGTGTTTTTGATGACTTATGTGGTGTTTCTCGAGTTGTAAGTCGAGTTAGCATATGCACCATCCTGCTTTGGGCTTGGGATCATATCAATATCTCCCCCACTGGAAACAACCTTGTCCACAAGGTTGAGGGAAGGGTATTGCCTACAAAATTCTATCTATGATTCCAAAGTAGAGTAAAACCATTGAAGGCCCATCACTTACTAGCTTAAGCTTTTAGGTGAGATGGTTGATTATCATGGTATCAGAGCCAAGGTGACAATGGGGTGACAGGTTTGATCCTCGCCACCCCACTTTCTAATAAAATTAAGCTAGCACAAGGTAAAACAACAAAATGAATTTGTGCAATATTCACGCTTCAAGTCCAAAGAGATCTTGCGTGAGAGGATGTGGTAGAGAGATATAAAATCATTGAAAGCCCATCAATTACAAGCTTAAATTTTTAGGTAAGATAATTGCTTATCATGGGACATGCCTTCCCATAGTACTTGAACTTAAGCATAGCACTAGAACTTGAGCTACTGGATGACCATCTTGTATCTCCCAATGAGTGTCTAGGATGAGTTTAGGTTCTAACATAGGTAGACCATTGCTGAAAAAGGAAAAAGGAAGAATATCATGGTCTCCTTAATAAGTTTTCAAGGAATACACATAGAATGGGTTATGAATCTTAGGAGTAGTTGGAAGTTTGAGCATGGAAGAAACTTTCTTAATTTTATTTTTTGGATTTCAAAGGGTCCAAAGTTGCTTTGGGATAGTTTATTGAAAATTTGGTTGGCCAACAAAGACAGATGATGTAGCTGCAATTGCACCCATACCAAGTCTCCAACTTGATAATACACATCATGTCGATGTTAGGAGCAATAAATAATAAAACGATGAGCAACAGTTTGATAAACCACACAATTTCTCTAGCTTTAAAGCATTTGAGAGAAATCGTAAGGATTGATTAATAAAATAGTAGTTTGGTTAGTTTTGGATCGTATTGACATGTTATTTTCTTACATGACTCCACACTAATAATTAGTCGTCAAATAATATTTATAACCATGGAAAATTTATATCAACAAAGGATATAATCATCTCCTAATTCATTGTTAATTGACATTAGTTAGATGAAGTCATATTCACATGTCACACATTAAATCACGTATTTTATTAAAATATGTTCACATTATTAATATGGATTAAATGTGTGTCTTTTAAAAGGACACAAGTTGTGTCCTTTTAGTTTTTTACACTATGTACTATAAGTAATATATAGTTATAATATATAAAAAGTTATTTTTTTTCAATTTTCACATAAGCTGCAATAACTGAGAAGAAAAAAAAAGTAATTTTCCATATTATAACTATTGGATAGGATATTCTGCCTACTCTTATTTTGCCTACCTTTTCATACCTCTCTCAACACTGTTAAATTACAATCTCATCCAACTATGGAGATTTGCAGAATAAAATAAACCTTTTCCTTCTTTTTTTCTTCTCACTACCTCCCACAATTCTTTCTCTCTCCTCCTTTTTCTTTCTATCGATTCACGTAATTTACAACCTGAATTTATATTTGAATTTAAATCCATGCAATGATTAATGGCATGATAATTTTGCTAGATAAGTATAATTTTTAGAATTTCTTGAATCTGATATAATTAAACACGACATAAACCACAAAATTACAAAAAAAAACAAAAACCACTAATAACCCTTCATTTGAATTAATTCTCTATTATCATAACGTTTCTACTTTGTTGTTGTAATTTGAAACTAATCAACTTCTCTCCTTCTTCTTATCTTGTTTTTCACCTTGAAGTGGGGAAAGAATATTTGTTCTCTGTATGTTACCCCAAATTCGATTTGACACCCCAATTCGATTTTTTATATAAATGCTCATAACAATGGCTGAGTCGGTTGAATTGAGAAAAAAGCTTACACTTTTTTTTGATGCTGAAGTGCCATTGAAGAAAGAGAAAAGAGACGAGAAAGAAAGAGTGAGAAGCAGTTAGGGAGAGAAAGAGATAAAAAAGTTTATTTTATATTGTAAGAGTGCGTTTGGATTGCATTTTAAAAAAAGTTACTTTTATGCCCTACTTATTTTAAAAGTGTTTTTTATAAAAGTTAAAATTATTTAGATTTTTTTAAAAAATATTTATTTGTTGAAAAAAAATTAGCTTTTTACTTTTACTCTTTTTAGAAGCTAAAATTTTTAGCTTATGAAAAAAGTAAGTTTTTAACTTTTTTTATAACTTTTGCTTTTTTTTAGAAACAACA